CAAGACTAACAGTTAAATATAAAGATGGTTTCAATACTACATCACAACCAGTAAGAGTAAAACAGACGATGGAAAACTATAGAAATACACCAGTAGCTAAGCAGCGCTAGTGTCAGAAGTGATACCTCACATCCTCCTATTCATGTAACACAACTAACGTCACTACTCACATCAGCAACGACTGCCGCGCCGCCTCGAAACAGCGAACGGAAATCAGATCAACCGACAAACGTCAAGAAGAAGAAAAGAAGCGGCACAAACCTCCTTCAAAATAAAAGGAAGCACTTCACAATAAAAGCATAGGACATGAGACGTAAAAAAAAAAAAAAAAAAAAAAAACCCCCATGTCCCCTGGAGGGCTCCGTACTTTCGGGATCAGACTGGGATCATGCTGTTTGCGCCAGAATGATACACAGCCAGGCTGGCCGACTTGCGTCAAATGATGGGACGTACTCGCGCAGTTGTGCGGCACCAGATGGCGGGCTTTTGGCTCTTCCGTGAACTACATAGGTCACTGTTTGCGAAATGAATAAATTGTTGACAGCCAGTTTCAGACCTCAATTATCCAGCTCCAAATAATAATAATAATAATAATAATAATAATAATAATAATAATAATAATAATAATAAAGCGACATAAAACACGAGTCCACAGCAGAAGAAGCTGGTTAGAATTGGTGGAGAGGATTTGAGAAGCGTTGCTAAGGGAAACGCACATCAGGAGAGTTGCGACGCATCTCGCCATCGCCGTTGGAGCCTGTTGTGCTGCTGAGGCAGGGCAGGTTAATGGACGCCATGCCTTGGACAGTTGTATCAGATGCATTAATTTTTCCCGAACGGAACAGGTTCCAAAAGTCCATTGGAGAGGCGGCCACCGACCACCAGATGCTTTGGATTGGAAATAATGACGACATAATTTTCACGCACGTCTGAAGCTGATGACGCTGCTATTTTCAACAAATTAATACATTTACTTTTCTCTGCTAAGCTTAGTTACATTTTCATTGTTCTGTTTTGTTTTGATCTAAATTGTCTCACTTTAAAAAAAAATAATAATAATAATCAAATGGAAGCATGTAACTTTTGCACAATATCCAGCATACTATAATACATTTATAATTTCTAGATCCAGAATCTTTTTTCCTTAGAATGCATGTCAAACTTGAAATACTTTAAAACTTTAAAAAATAAAAAAACGGAAACTCTTAAAGACACATTTCTAAATCTAGCACGGTGGCATAAATCTTTCTTTGGGAAAAGATTTATGCCATTGTCTGCAGGGTTAAGAAGCTTAAAATCCCGATCCGACATAGAAACTTTCTGAACCACAAGCCTCACGACAGTTCTTAACTTCAATACATTTACATTTAATCACAATGCAACAGCTATAAACATGTATTTTTGTCATCACACACAGTGAATAAGAACACCGGCTGACTGAATCTTTGGTTAAATTGGTTACTAAGAAATTTTTTTTGAAGTTAAACTCTCAAACTGCCATACATAATTAAAATAAAAATAGTTATATTGGTTAATTTATCGTGTGATTGTGCAAGTGGGCTGAGCCTTCCAGTAGAACGACAAGTGGACAATGGATGGATTGTAATTCTCGTCTCACAGAACAATGTCTTTGGGTTCCTGCGTTGCATTAGCGAGGGGCCAAGGATTTCTTGAAGTATTCCCAGCACCAAATAGCTTCCCAAAAAAAGCAAATTCATAAACCCCGAGTCATGACGCTGAACTGGAAGACAGAACGAACACAAAACGTTGTAGCTTTATAGCCGTCTTGTTCGATTGTGTTTTGGTGTGTTAGGCCGTGTGACAGCCATCCCAAGGACATTTTTTGCCATTCGCCAAAACTTGCCCCCAAAAATGAGCCTTGCTCAATGAGCTAACCCAGTCAGAAGCACATGGAAACATGATAAAGAGAAAGATGCAAGGAAAAGGAGAGAGAGGCGAAACGCTGGCATCAGAAAGCTGGACGGCTGGGTGCCTCTGCTTGGCTGCAGGAGCTTGGCATTCAGAGGATATCAGGGTTGAGTTTGGAA